AAGTTGTGGCATACAGTTGGCATTCCTCATTTGCTGATGATATGTTTAAATTTTTGTTTTTTTCTTAAAAACAGTGTTTTGTTCTTTTAATTAGTTATTGGTGGTAGGAGCTTCTGAGGTACTGCTTCACTAAACTGACATTACCCCCAAATTCCACTAATGACTTTTTTGCAGTTTTCACATCTTCCTCTGCCTTTTGGTGTTGCAAATGTCTTCTTTTTCATCCTGGCATCTGTTTCTCTGCCAAACCTCTTTTATTTGCTTACTTAACCTCTGCCCTTTGTTTGACCTCTCTTCCTCCTTTGTCCTTGACTCTGCTTTTCTGTTGATGTTCAGTCCGTGAATTTCATCTATCACCTTTAAGCAATTGACTCTCACATTTGAATCTTTAGCCTTAATATTTTACCTAAGCCTTTATTTCCTGCTGAAATGAACATGTTCTCATTCTTCCTATTCTATTGGTATTGTCATCATATCTTATTAAAGCCTTGAAGTTGTCACTGAATCATCTGTGTCTCTTTTGTCCCCTAAATTTATTCTCCACATCAAGGATCTTTCTTCTTAATTCTCACTGATATTGTCAATTATAGATTCTTGTTTTTCAAGTTATATATTGCTATGACTTATTAATTTGTCATATGTTTCATTTTATTTTTTTCTCTCTTCAAGCTAATTTTATACCTAGCTTTCAGTTTAAAATCTATTACTATTTCTTTCTCTTTTTATTGCTATCACATACAGATAGAAAAGTACATGAATCACAGGCGCTCAGCCTGATGAAATTTCACAGACTGAACATACTTTCATGTAATAACACCAACAAATTAGTACCTTAAAAAAGTCACATTTATGATCATGTTTTTTTGCTCTAAAAAACAATTAATTCAAGGAATTTGGTCCTTATTAATTTCCTGAACAGTGGAATAGGAGATAAATTGACACTGCATCTCCCACTGCTTGCCACATATAGCTTGGTTTTGGAGACATTTTTTTCTTTACCTCATACTCCCTTTTTTGTCCCATACTGCTCCTACTTCTTGAAATACATTTCCCGTTTGACTCTTTATAATCTAAATTGTGCTCATTTTCCAGCCCTATCTCAAATCTTGCCATCTCTAGGAAACTTTGTGGGCTTTGTCCAGCCTTCATTACTTTTTAAATTTCTCTTCAAAAATTCTTTAATTAGTTAATTAATTTTTTGAATAGGCAATATCAATGTTTACTTAGCACAAAATTCAAATGTATAAAAGGGTATATAACGATAAGTCCTTCTCTCATTCCAGTGCCTCAGCCACTATGTGTTCTTTAGGAAATATTTTTGCGCTTAAAAGGAAAATTAGGGGCGCCTGGGTGGCGCAGTCGGTTAAGCGTCCGGCTTCAGCCAGGTCACGATCTCGCGGTCTGTGAGTTCGAGCCCCGCGTCAGGCTCTG